TCATTCACGTGAGAAAACGAATTTCACTTGAATATTGGATTTGGAATAACAATGTAATTTATTTGTTATACAGACTAAGGACCAAGGCGTTTGAATTACGGAGTACCTTTGCAATTACCTCCACATCATCGCTCAGAGAAATGAATTAATTAAGAGAGAAGCAGTCGCTAAAGTGACAATTTGTCAACAGACTAAGGCAATTTGAACAAAATTTCTATTTTTCATATTCGTATTTGATATTCGAACGCGTGCTAGTATCTAGTGAACGTTTTATTCTGTTGTCACCATAATCCCCAGGAAATAGAAAAATAAATAAATACTCAGCTTCTTCCCCTCAAATGCTTGAGCAGAAACCGCCGACAAAAGGACAAATAATAAGCATCAGTTCCAGTGAGCAAATCTTTCCAAATCCACCCCGGACCTAAAACTTTCTTCTATTCTCACAAAAACCGACAAGGGTCTGCTCCAGAACACAATCCAATCCATACCCATACAAAAACATATTAATAATAGCCAGCATTATTAGGCAAAAAGTGTCCAACAAACGCCCCTTCTCCACTCCTTCACGCCTGTCGCTCCCTTTAATGTTCGGGGGTGGGAATTACGCCCTTTTACGAACCCCCTCGATTATTCAATAGTCCGCAAAAGAAGTGCGTGCCGGGTGATTTTACCAAACTATCACTCTTTAACCCCTCCGTATCCCCCATCCCCAGCTTCAATGAATGCGAGAAATCATAGCCATCCTCAGCCAAAAAATCGAGCGCGCTGGAGAGGCGATGCCCCAAGAACTGGCCATTGTACGTCCAAGAACCAGGCCCTCTTAGCATCTGATGTTGAGTACCCTGCTTCTTCCCCCTTCGATCATTGAACAGAAAACGTTCTTTTGATCTGGTTGAAGGGCCTCATCCGAAAAGGCCCACAGCTCCGGTATTGTCCCTTTGTCAACATTTGACTTGACTCTTCTGTTATTGTCATGAATGGGGTCTCCAAACAACACGAGGTTTCACTTTTTGTGGGGTAGGAAGTGGATTTATTTATTATTACATTTCATTATTATCAAACGTGTTTGCTGAGCGAATAGGGACTCGAATTTCAATGTGTCCGCGTCGAATTTCGACACCTTCTGGAAGAAGGGTCTTTTCTTGTCCACCCTTGAGGATGAGTGCCGGCGAGATGTGTGCAATAAATTATTTCCTATAAAACTCGTTGACAGTTTCTTCACACAGTGGTGCTTTATCGAAAATGTGTAATTATGCGTAACCATGAGATGAAAGCCAGAAACATTCTACACACTTCCACACTAAAATGCTCAGTTTGATGTAATAACGATTTTTGAAGTGGCTTGACTGAAACACATACTTTAGGTCATTATATCTATCTCACGTAGCTCATGTTCATAAGCGCATATAAGTTACATTCTTTAAATTCTGAATAAAGAAGGTTATGATTTGTAGTAGTTCTTCGATGCTATAAAGAGATTAAATCTTTTTAGTGTTTAAAAGGTATTGTTCCTGATATTGTCAATTAATGTTAAGTTAAACAAAAATTTGTTTTAAATGGTTAGTTTTTGAGGGATTATTTAATCATTTAGGTAGTGCAAAATTTATTTTCGTTTTGGAAATTTTTTTAATTTACCACAAATGCGGAAAGAAAACGATTCAGTTTCTTTAAGAATCCTCTTTGAGTTTTACAGTTATAAGAAATAACGATGTATTCTTAAATAGTTCTTAATGTTATAGTCACAGGAAATAACAGTAATACCAATTCTAATTACCTGCGCAATTTTAAATGAATTAATCACAAGTCACGAGAGATTTGTATAATATTTAAATCATAAGAATATAGCCAAAAAATGCATTTTACCTCATCTTGATTCTGACATAAATAAAATCTTCTAAATTTATGGAATTGTGTTCGCTACTCTACATGTAAGTTTTGATAAAGAATATCATTCCAGTTATACAGATAATTCAAAGTAAAGGATAAACATCTGTGTTATCACAAATGAAAAACAGCTGAAGTTTAACTATTTGAAGAAAATGAGGAATGCTTGGTTATGTTTAAGAGAAATCACATTTTTAATTACATCAATTCAATTTTAAATTTCCAACACATATCATTTTAAAATAGATCTTCTTTGTTTCAGGTAACATCGATCGGAAAATGTACGATGCACAATCAATTACTAATTTATCGGGGTAACATTGGAGACGACATCCATGACAAAATGGAAATCATGGTTCATTGAAAAGCAATTGCAAAGGTTGGGCAAAAAGTAGTAGCAATATATTGATAGTTCTGAAGGCTATGTATTAGATTAGCTAACCCGACTTAGACTATGTCGATTTAGACTGTTTATATATGCCATTGTTCTAACATAGGTAGTTGGACATAATCGTACTTTTCTGAAATGACATACGTATCTTTTTCCGATATTTCGAGTCTACGACTCAAGTTATGCCAAAATACAACGTTTTGTAAAACTCGCAGAAGTTTTTAAAAAATTCTGTCTCAAACTTTTAGCTCCTCAGTGTTAACTGAATTTAGTATATGTTTATTAATAACTCAATTAATTCAAATTTAATATTTAATCATAATGAGTCATAGAATTGAAATATAGAAAAAAAAATCTGCATGTCATTTCAGAAAAAGTCCGATCTTGCGTCAGAATACCTGTATTAGAACAAAGTTATATATAAATCTAGTAAGCATACTTAAACGAATACTTAACGAATAAAGTAAGTATACTTAATAAAGAGTACATGTATAAATAGTGCATATATAAATAGTACGTAATAAAGAGCACATAAGAGTGTGACTACTTTTGATTTACTTTTAAAAATGAAAAATCAAACATAGTGGATTATCGAATATACATATTGAATTATAGAATATTTTGCACTGATAAAACTTAAATGCATTGTATTAAAAAAAAAGACTTAAAAATAAATCTCAAGCAATTGATAAACTAGAATGATTGATCAAAAATACTTTTAAAACGCTTAGAAAATTATATAAAATATTAAGAAATGACATCTTTAGGTTACATTACAATTTAAAATAATAAAGATAATCGGAAGAACTGCAAAGTCACGTACTCCATCATTAAGAAAATTTTAATTTAATAATTTTAAGTACTTCATTTATGTATTTCTTATGCACTGAAGTCTGGCGTTCTATACAATACCTAGGCGTTTTATAGAATGCCGAAAACCGACCGGCATGTATGAAACGATTAAATATTTCAGACATTGCCTAAGCATTCCATAGAATGCCAAATGACAAACCGATAGAGTATGAAATACATCTCCGATTCGCTTCGAATAACCGAAACTACTTGCCAGAAGTTAATAAATGATGTAAAAAATTCCAAAATAACTACTAACAAGAAACCACCTGACTATTGGTTGCTGAATCGACCATGATGTAATATTTGTGGAAAACAAAAGTAAACTCATTTATACTGTTAAAGAGGGCGTAAGTACTATATAGTATTACCTCACGGAGAGTTATTTCACATTGAGTTATTTCACTTCCGAAACTCATTTGGCTATTGGACACGGAGGACGGGGCAGAATGTTGAAAGCAAACACAAAAAGGTCACGTAATGATAATGAACTGAACATCCACCTTTGTGAGTCCTACCCCCCTCCCAAAAAAAAGTAAAGATATTCAAAAGGGCATTAATGTAAGATTTATGATTTTTTAAAAAATTAAATCTCGTTGTCAGGCAGATCTTATTGATTTCCAGTAAAATAAAGAATACAAATGTATTATGGTGTACCTATATCATCTCACCTTTTTTTTTTTTTTTTTTTTTAACGTATTTAGAATAAAAGTTTTTTGGCAGCTTTTTATTATTTTTTTAAAATAATATTTGCATTTTTGAGGAATGGATGGTTTTTACATAATAGCCTTACCATAACCTTTTTTTCATACTTTAAAAAAGCGAAGCATTCTATAAACTGCCTAGGTATCCTATAGACTGCATTTCCGATAACAGATATCTTTCTTATGAGTTACTTTTTATTTATTTGAAACAGCATACATCAATATTAAATGTGCAGTCTTCATTATTATCTATTCTGGCAACAGTATTATTATTTGCATTAGTAATAACTTGATAATTTTCAATACATTTAAGCTCATTCATAAATGTACATTTCAGAGCAATTTTTAATTTTACGAACGCTAAAAATTCTTCAGGCACAGCCTTCTACTTTATACCTCCCTTATAACCTTCTTCAATAGGTAGTCGAATACAAGTCAGGTATCTCTTAGCATTGTAGTTGTATTTATTACATAAAAACTAACTCTTTCGCATATGATTGCTTTATATAGTATTCAATGCATCTATATTAAATATACCTCTGTTGTATTAATTCTAATATTATTATTGCATTAATATTCATAAAAATTTGTTTCGTTTCATTTAAAAATACCTTACAAATTCATGTTACAAGAACTTACTGGAATTTTTTAAATTTTCAAATAATAAATCATTTACTATTTAATGTACTTCGTATTTATTCTCTGATTAATTTGCATTTAGAGCAACCGTAAAACCTAAAATTGTATTGCCAAATGGAAGTAAAATAATACGCTTCTGTACTACGTTTTTCTATTTTTACTTCTGTACTACATTTTTCTATTTTTACTTCTGTACTACGTTTTCTAATAAGATAATATTTTCATCCAAAATTAAAACGATATTTTTAACAAATTACAAGAAATTGTCCTTCATGGGCCATGAGATATCGCTCCGAAAGGAAAGTTAGAAAAGAACTGTAGTAAAAAAAGGAGGCTGGCTTTGCTTCTACTCACCATGACTCCCTCTGCTATGCTCATTGGTCAAAAGCTCATCAATAGGCGGTTCTTCATTTGCGCGTTATGGGCGGGGGCAGAAGGGCGTATCCTAAGTTGTTTGCCGAACCTCTACGGCGAACCATTCGGCAAAGAGGCCGGTAAACTGCTGAGCAGGCCGAAAGTTTTCTCGAAGGTGTATGCGCGCGCTGTTTTCTTGTGTGCGTTTCGCGTCGGCGTGTGTGTTATTACTCGTGTTATAACGTCAACTTTATTCCACCCCTTTTGTCACATCCCCCCTCCGTACCTGAGGACTCCACGACGGCCCTGCCCCCTTCGAGCAGAAGGGAGGAAGTTCGCCGAGTTACTCTGCGGCAGTAATCATATTAGTGCGGTGGTGATTGTTCAGCGTCAGCCGTGATCTCTATGGACTGGAAGAGCCGTCGGCCTTACTGAGGAGGGCCAAAATCATGCCGAGGCCCGGACGCAGCACGTACGGCGAGCAGAAACCGCCGTACTCGTATATTTCTTTGACGTTTATGGCCATCAATAGCTCAAGTGAAAAAATGCTAACTCTAAGTGATATTTATAAGTTTATAATGGACAGATTTCCATATTACCAAAAGAACACTCAACGATGGCAAAATAGTTTGCGGCATAATTTGTCTTTTAATGACTGCTTCATTAAGATACCTCGAAGGCCGGACCGTCCCGGAAAGGGAAGCTACTGGGCACTTCATCCGGCCTGTGGTGATATGTTTGAGAACGGCAGCTACCTACGACGCCGAAAGCGTTTCAAACTAAGCAAACAAGCTAAAGATGCTACAGCAGCAGCACTTGCGGACCTCAAACATTTCGAAACGGCCACCCAGGCCGCTGTACAGGAACATGCAAAGATGAGATTGACAGCTCTTGCTGCAGCTCCCAGCCATCTGCAACCTCTGGGTGAGACTTTACTTTCATCTAGTGTGCCCACTACCTACAAACAGCCATTTACTATCGAAAATATCATAGGTCCTGACATCAAAAACGGTGGACTTGTCGGAACACATGGTGCATTGCAAGGACACCAACCTATGATACCTCAACCTATGCTGGCATCTAGGTCGCTGGCGACCTTTCCTCAGCTCAGCATGGCTAATTGGCATCCCACCTACACTTCGGCGGCTATGACTTTCAACCCGGTCATGACCGGTGCGGACTTTCCACACCTATTTGTCGGTTCGAAACCGCCACAGGCTGCGACGAGCGTCTTCAGTTTACCCCTGCATCATCATTTACATAGAGGACTGGGTCAAGTGCCGTTCGCGGCTGCTCTGCCATCGTTAGGCCCGTACAAACCTACCTTTGTCCCGGCAGCTTTTCCGAGCCTGCCTGACCATGCGCTACTGGGGTCGGCAGTTATGCCACCCTGCATTAATGCTGGCATCTCCCCACCAGTAAGAGTAGATTCTGTCTCCAGCGATATCTCATCTAAGTCACTAGACGTCGTATCAGACGATTCCTCCAAATGAAACTGAACTTCAAGAACTGTACGATGATTTTCGAGCCTTTTACTTCTCAGAAAACAAGCAGTAAGAATATATCTTTTATTCCTTTTCCTGTCTATATTCTAAATTCTTGTAGCTAAATTTGAATACCTAGATTTAAGAAGATATATAATATAGAAAATTAACGTTTGATGCTTTATTTTACTTTTAAATAAGATTTTAAAGTTAACTTTTAAAATTGGTTTCAAAAGTAAGTTTAAATTAATTTTACTTATTAATATAAAACAAAGCTTTACCCTAATATGAAAAATTACGATCTTACATTTTTCCAAGCTTGTTCAGTTTAAAGAGTACTGAATCTAAATTTCAGGGTACTGAACCTGCACTATACAATTATGGACGTCAGTAGTTTTCATAAACTGCGTATTAAGTTTTTGAAGTTTTATGCAACAGTGTTCATTCATGAATCTTTCTAAAAGACTATTAGGACGTCTTGATTATTTATTTAATGAATGCACTTACTAGAAAACTGGTGAAAATAAGTATAACGTCTACTATTTCACATTCTGTAGATCTGTTAGCTTCGGAAAATGAAATATTTTGATAAAGGCAATATTTTATCTTGAAAACCTTAAAATTATCAGCTGAAGAGCCTGTATCTCAGTAAGGTATTATTATAATATTTCTGCATAGCCATATTTACCACTTTTAAATTATAGACTTACAGGCATCGTAATTAAATGACATTATGAATTATTAGTTAAATTTTAAATAACTGTATAAAAGAGTCCCCTTTATTATATTACCTAAGGTAATAACTCTAAGTAACTCTGTAACTCTGAGTTTCGAATGTTAAAAAGGCAGTTTTAAACCACATATATATTATTCTCCTCTTCACTATTTGGTCTATAACAAGTTTAGAAAGTTTTGCAAACTTGTGTGTAATATATTACGATATTTTAAAATTAATATATTAAATGCAAGAACGAGTTTCCCTTCTAGCAGTTATAACAACATTTTATAAAATAAACAGCCTTAGAAGACTTGATTTTAACAGTGAAGAAGATTTCTGTATAATGCTATGAAAATGCTGTCTTCGCGAAACTTGAAGAATTCATAGCCACCAATAAAAATTTGCCACAATATGAGATAAAGTGAGATCTTCCTCATTGGTCAAGTTTGTTAGAATGTTTGTTTACCAAACCTGAGGCTTTATAAGAAATAACAACTCATCAAGCAATAATGTAGCTTCCCTTCATAAAAAAAAATAAAGAATAAAACTGCATAAAAACATGAAACTCCTTTTATGAAACTTCCTTTTATAAAAGTTTCCCATTCATTTGCTTTACACCATTTAAACAAAAATCATATTAATAGAATACGAAGAATTTCACTATAATTGAAATTTATTAAAAGACTATTTATTTACACTATTTTGTTGAAAAATGTACCTACTTTTTTCTGAAAGGGTAAATGTCCACATGTTACAAATGTGTGGCTATCAATTTTTCTTTCAATAAATCTTAAAAATATTAATTTTTAAAAGCAACTAATTTATTTTTAATCAGATGCTAAACTGGAAATTAAATGCGTTTTTCTTTTTTTTCATCTTTATTCAAATTACATTTAGAAATTAGCCAGTATCTAGCCATTAATTTAAACTTTTATGTATTGTTAATTTAAATTTTTCTAATTACAGAAAACAAACGCGACTGTATCTTAAACATATGAAAACATACAAATATTTACATGAGAGGGCAAAATCAACCACTTAGGCTGTAGTGCAAATAATATCTTTGATTCTCTTTCAATTTGGAAAAAAAAAAAAAAAAAAAAAAAAAAAAAAAAAAAAAAAAGTAGCTAAATTTATGAACTAAAGAAGTGCAGCACAGGAAGATTGAGTTTTAACACATTTAGTTGAAAACATAATGACATATTTAGTTGAAAACATAATGGTATTTAAGTTGAAAACATAATGACCCTCGTAAACTTTACTGGTTTTATTCGAGCTACCCGGAATTGACCCTTTCACTTAAATGTGCAAAATCTAGAACTTGACAGATTGAACATATGCATTCTTCTCTGCAACACTATTTTATAATGATCTGAATAAACTAGTGCATACTGTAAAAAATGTAAAGCATCTAAAAATTTAAAAAAAAAAAAAAAATAATAATAAATGTTAATTAGCATTAATTAATGTAACTTATTCGATGGATTGTTGAAAATTTCAGAAAAATCTTATTTAGTCTTAAATTCTTGCTTAACTTCTTGACGTTCAAAATTTTTATTATTTTACACTAAACAACATTTGAAAATTTAATTTTTCATCAAATTACGAAATAATATCTACCAGATGTGCTTCGATATTACTTTTTAAATGAGCTATACATTTTGCGTTAATTATATTAATGCATAAAAATCTATGAATAAAAAATTTTTGGAAGTTTAGACTATTCCTCTACAGCTAGTTAGTTACACATAAAAAGCTTTTTTTGGTTGCGTTTGTTGAAAACATCATAACTACTCGTAATATACGTTTGTAAATATTTAACGAGGCTCGGCTTGTGTCGAAATTAAGTGAAATCGAGGCACACTTAAAAACAGACTTCAGAAAGAAAACCCCAGATAATTTTTTGAGTAATATTCAAAGATGATAGCAATACTTGTTTTGATAATTACTTTTGGATTATTACCTTGATTTTTCTAAGAGTAAAATCAAGGTAATAACCCAAAAGGTTTTTCCATTTTACATATTAATTTTTATTCACAGCAGTATTTTTAATTCCACTATGCCTTTTTAAACAAGGAATGAAATTGAAGGTGAATAAAGATCCGATTGCAAATGTTATTACTTAACTGCTGGTAAAAGTAATTATTGCATTAGTACTGCTTTTCTTTATTTGGAAATTTTCAATGGTTACGGAGTATAATGATTCTCAACTTTGCTTGTTTCTACAGAGGTTCGCGCATTTCTTAGACGAATTTCATTGTATTTACAGAGATAGTTTACCGAAACATTTTGCATTTCATATGTTCCATTTGTTAACCTCCAGTCTTCACTATCTTTCTACACCGTAATTTCCAAGACAATAAAGACTTTTTTAGTATTAAAAGAGGTTTTTTATCCCATTTCTCTTTAAAAACTCTCCAAAGTCCAAAGACAGTTGTAAGCCGACCTTTGGACAATTAGCTTCATAAAAGTTCAAAAGCACAAAACTCTATGGCAGATACTTCAGAAAATTTAGGGGGGGGATATGAGTCTTGATACCTGCATCTTGTTCCATTTTTTCCATGAATTTCTCATTGGATTTTTACTTTTGGCTGCTTACTTTGTCTTGATGCATTTCTACTGTGGGTAAAGAGAAGGTATTTCATATTTGAAATCTGGGTATCAAATATGTTCCTGGTAATATGTGGAGTTGACTTTAATAGATTTCTTCACTGCCTCTCATTTTTATTGGTCGTTGTATCAAAAACCAACAACAGTCATAAATACATTTCAAAAACATTCTTAAATTCTTTGGACCATGTTCTAAATTTTTTTCCTTCTATTTGATGATAATAAACGGATCCTTTTTTATTGCAGTCTTTTAAATATACCCAAGATTCATCTATTGTGACAACATTTTCCCATTTTTATTCGAATAAGTGTTTCTCACAGAGAATTCTGCAGCGCACTCTGCTTTAGGGGATATGTCGTGGAGAAAGTAGATGCATATTACGTTTTCTAGCCCTTTTAAGACTCAAATCAGCAATAATCCCTTTATTTACAGTTGACATCAGCATTTTATTGATTATTCAACTGTCCTTTGACTTCGCAGATTTTCTTTTAACATTAGTTCAACATTTCATATATTTTCACATAACATAGTTTAACATTTCTTTTAACATTTTCATTAACATTAGTTAGATTTTCTTTTAACAAGTTCTTATCCTTGCAATACTCGAAACATTCCGGTTTTCACTTAGATATGTATTTTGAACAATATTTCTTCCTGAAGCCAAATCTGAGGTTTTTCTTCCCTTGCTTATTGACAATATTATCTATCGTTGCTTTAGATATTGAAAAATCATGACTTAATAGCATTTTTTTATAACTAAATACGAATAATTTTCTTCGGAAAGAGCACAGATATAGTCTTCTGTCCATCGCTTCTTTAAAAGTGCCATTTTGCATGAAAACAAAACTGCCAAGCAGCAGACGATAATTTACACTTTAGAAAATATAGTTGGAGTTAAAATTTTGTTTTCCAAGTAGGCGATTTTTTTTAATAACAAAACAAAGTCGCCTAAAAAATGTACAAACAGTCTCTGTAGATAACAATTTTTCCTTCAAGTTGCTTAACCGAAAGATTGATATAATATTTCAAAATGAATTTTAAAAAAATCGTGATATGCAACTTAAAAAACATCTGATTTCTTCAAGAAGAAATAGCATTTCATGCAACATCAGTGCATCAGTTATCACATCAGCAAATGCTTACCATTAACTTATACTTATTTTACAAATATATATATATATAATTTAAATGTAGCCTTCCTTTATCTTAGGTTTTTAATTTCCCATTTCTTAAAATAATAAAATATTTTAAATTATTTTGCAACAATAATTGCTGGATGAATTAATTTAACATAAAATTTTGCTATTAACATTATGAAAGTTATCAATTAAAAAATGTATGAATGCTTCACAAAAAAAGAAATGTCTCAAAATATAGTCATTTTAATACTTAAGAAGTAAGAAAGGATTTTCATAGTTAACTATTTTATTACTATTATTCGGATAGCTATCTCATTAAAGTTTGTTAAAAACTTTAAAATGGAGTGTTAAAACTGAAGTCCTCATACAAAGTCATAATTCACAAAATTTATCATTTTTTTTATTTCGTACAGCATCATAAGCTTTTAGTTTTTATTTTAAATTCTTTCTTTAGATAAAGATAAGTTAACTCCTGAATTGAATTTTACAAATGTCGAGAACTTTGTCGATTATTAGAAAATATTGCAGCAGTCAAGATCTGTAGAAAATAACTGCTATCAAGATAAAATGAATTGATTTATCGAATTTAATTAAAAAGAATCTCCTTTAAAAATCACGCCCAGCACATGAACCGAATTTTCCTAAATTTAGTTCCTTAAAATATATACATAAAAAATACTCTTATTGAAAAGGCATACTGGTATAAAAGATTTTATAAATATTTCAAAATTAACCTAAATAACAACAGAAGTGCTTAGAATGATAGAATATATATATTTCTAAAGTTAAAAAACGTGTGTCATCAAATAAAACATTTAGTCTGAGTGTCCTCTTTATGGATAGAAATGCTATAAAAAATTCAGCAATTAAATTTTCTTTCTATATTTAACAGTAATAGTTTAAATTTCTTTTAAGAATAAGTTTCTTCTTTTCTGAAAGCTGCTTGTTTTTTAATTGTAAGAAATATTTATTACGGTTATTTTTAACTCTATCATTCTTTATTTTATGAAGGGTAAAAATAGAAATTTCTAGATTTCTTATAAATATATAAATATAGATATAGTTAATTAATAATGTAAGATATGATGATATTGAAAACATTTTAACGCATGTATTTTTCCATTTCCGAGAAAAACTGTTTAGTTTAGTTATCGTTAAGAACATATGTAATCTACAACGTAGAATATAATATGATACACAAATTTAAAAATGCTTAAATTCTATCAAATGCCAGTTACATATATATATATATATATTAATTGAAAAGAAAATATAAAGTGAACTGGTAATTAGACGAAAGACCAAAACTTTTGCGCATAATGCTGCAAAAAGATTTGAAAGAATAGTAGTAGGTAGGAACATTGCAGCAACCTTGCTAAAAAGTTACCAGGAGCTGTAGCTCCACGAAATGTTGTAACATAGTACTACATAAACAATAAGAAATTTGCCTGGTAAAATTGGAAAAACTGTATAAGCGCGATAAAACTGCCAAATTTTAGAGCTGGAAGACTTGCTATTGCACGAAAAAATTAATTAATCTGACCGTTGTGTAATGTGAAAAGTTAACTCACATGAAAAAATACATATATTAAATATTTATTTAATATATGTATTTAATATATAATTTTAATATATGTATTTTTACATATTTGTGCATACATACATATTTAATATATGTATGTATGCACAAATATGTAAAATACATATTTGTGCCTTATGTGACTGACATATTATATAAATGGCATAAAATGTCAGTTATATGCCATTTATATAATATGTCAGTCACATAAGGCACAAAGCAGAGTATAAAGCATATATAGCTTTTATATATATTTATATATATTATATATATATATATATATATATTCGATGGTTTATACACAAGATGGTTTATACACATATGCTAGTCACATATTATATACTTTAAAATTAACTAATTGGAGATTATGATTCATAAGTTACAAACCTTAATTAATTATTTACATAAAAATAACAATTCATGAAAACACATCTTTTACTAAAAAGTTAGCTAAAATTCGCCTTTCTTTGCATATAAAATAAGTTTTATACGCATCAAAATACGTTACGAAAATTCGAAGAAATATATTTGGGTCCATTATCTCTTTTTTAAGCGTCAACTGGAAAGAATTACAAAGTAATATAACATATACTTTTCTCAAAGATTTCAAATGTTTACAAAGAAACATCAAATTAAACTCTTCATATTGTATTCATGGTGTTATTATATATGAAATGATTGTAAAACTATTTTGTGCTTAACTTGTGAATTCTACATTGAATGATACATTGAACTCATGCGACATTGAATGATATTTAAATAGAAAATATACACCTTTAAAATACACACTGCAT